TATATAATTATTAAAGTGTAAACACATTTAGAAGACAGTGGGACTGCCAAGACTCAGCAGGAATATTAAAAAAAAATAGATGAGTCTTTTTGAGTCTCAGTCCTATAAAAATATAATATATATATAATTATTAAAGTGTAAACACATTTAGAAGACAGTGGGACTGCCAAGACTCAGCAGGAATATTTAAAAAAAATAGATGAGTATTTTTGAGTCTCAGTCCTATAAAAATATAATATATATATATAATTATTAAAGTGTAAACACATTTAGAAGACAGTGGGACTGCCAAGACTCAGCAGGAATATTTAAAAAAAATAGATGAGTCTTTTTGAGTCTCAGTCCTATAAAAATATAATATATATATATAATTATTAAAGTGTAAACTCATTTAGAAGACAGTGGGGCTGCCAAGACTCAGCAGGAATATAAAATAAATAAATAGATGAGTCTCTTTGAGTCTCAGTCCTTCACACAGATGTTGATCACATCTGGGGGGGGTTTGGGGGATTCCTGGTTGTTTCTACAGCTCTCCGCAGACGCTGGACGTGGTGCAGTACCCAGCCGGAGCCACCGGGGGTGGACGGCGGGTTCGAGTTCTCGGTGATGACCTACAACATCCTGTCCCAGGAGCTGCTGCGGGACAACGCCTACCTGTACCGCCACTGCCACCCGGCCCACCTGCCCTGGGAGTACCGGCTGCCCAACCTGCTCACCGAGATCCAGCAGCACGCCGCCGACGTGAGCCAATCAGACGCCGCCTCCCTGTTTTCCTGTTCTCTTTATTATTCCTTATTTACGTTATATTACCTTACCTTACCTTATATACGTTTTTCTGCGTCTAACTGCTCCTACAACTTTCAGCCTATTTCAATTAACTCATTGACTGGCAGCCATTTTCAGAACAGAGAGTCGCTCACTGCCAGAGTTTTTTGAGCATTTTGACTGATTTTTCTAGAGCCACAGAATAGTTTGTGCTATGACTATGTAAACACAGAACACACCAAAAGAAAGAGTAGACTCTCTTCTATCATCAGGAAAAAAAATGTGTTTCTACCTTTTTCCGTTCTTCTTCGACGTGCGTCTCACCGGCGACATGTTCTCTCATAGCGAACCATTGCGTTTGTTTTTATTTGCTTACAATCTATGCTAATTTCCCATCAAAAGTGGCACTGCCCCCTAGAGGGTCAATTTGTTACTACATACTCTGTCTAGAAGCCGATATTTACGGAAAAACTTTCGCCGATCGTCCCCCAAGCCACTCTCGTTGAAAAACATAAAAGACGTCTATAGACGTCTTTGGCAGTCAGCGGTTGGATTGAAAAGACGTCTATAGACGTCTTTGGCAGCCAATGAGTTAAAAGGTATCGAAATGACACCTTTCAGCCTATTTCAACAAATAAGGTATCAAAGTGTTCAGCTATCTCAGGACTATGCAGCTACGACTTTTCGTGTTTAAATCTTTTCAACTTTTTAAGTTATTGAACTTTTTCTGCTTTTATTTTCTCTCATTGTGAGAATGCCTACAGGTATTCTCACTATTGTTTTCCTGTTTCCCTTTATTATTCCTTATTCTGGACGTTTTTCTGCATCTAACTACTCCTACACCTTTCAGCCTATTTCAACAAATAAGGTATCAAAATGGATTATGCAGCTATGACTTTTGGTGTTCAGATCTTTTCAACTTTTTAAGATATTTAACCTTTTAGGCCTTATCCTTCTCATTGAAATGAATGGAGCAAAAACTATGGCTCCCTCTGCTGGACACTGGCTTTTTAGCCTCTTCAAATTTTTACTATGAATTCCTCTGGAGCCCTTCGACCTGTGGTATAGCTCAGTGGTAGAACATTTCCCACTCAAATCCTCTTGTACCTTATCTATAATTTTATGTCCTTTTACACTTCTTCTAATCTTTTTACCTGTCTTCTTCCACTCTTTAAAATTATTCTTCCCTTCAGCCTTTGCCCTTTCACTCTGTGGAAGGGCAAAGCTTTTATCCTGAATTGACAGAAGCTCCCATTTTCCTGTTTTCCAGATCCTCTGTCTCCAGGAGGTGCAGCAGGACCACTATGAAGCCCAGATCAAACCGGCTCTCCAGGCACTAGGTACCGAGTCCGGCCTCTGGGTCTGAGTTTGGGAGATCTGTTAGGGATGCTGGCTCTTGTGATTCCCTTCTCATATTCAGCCATCATTTTTAGACATTGGGGTTAAATGTTGGATTTTTTAGCTAAAAGATGACGATCTTCAAACCTGTGAAGATGCGTTCACCTGCAGTTTAAGTGTGTTTGTAAATTAAATTAAGGTTTTTTTTGTCACAAAGCTCCAAAGAACAAAGATTATTATTGTTATTACTATGTTATTGATATTAATATGTAATATGTTAACTAGCTGGATGGATGTTGGGATGGAAATAATCAGGAAGCACATGTTCACAGCACGGCTCTGTGTGTGTTTGTGTGTGTAAATATTATGTGTTTCTCTGGGTCTGACCATTCACTAAGACATGAATAACTGTGTGAAAGGTTATAGTCCTCATAAATGATATAAACCAGATAATGTCCCCATATGTCTTATAAAAATCAGATGTGATCAAAATGTTGCTCTAGCTAAAATCTTAATAGATGAATGTTTTCCTGAATGCATGGATAGAAAACTCTGGGATTCTCAGACCTGTAGAACCTTTGGAAAGACACGTCCCCATTTGTCCTATTTCCGTTATACGTCCTTATATATACTGAAAATATGTATATGTGTGTGTGTGTGTGTGGGCCTGAATTGGGATTTCTCAAAATGTTGCTCTAGCTAAAATCTTAATAGATGAATGTTTTCCTGAATGCATGGATAGGAAACTCTGGGATTCCCAGACCTGTAGAACCTTTGGAAAGGCACGTCCCCATTTGTCCTATTTCCGTTATACGTCCTCATATATATACTTAAAACACGTTTGTGTGTGTGTGCCTGAATTGGGATTTCTCAAAATGTCTGCTCTAACTAAAATCCTAATAGATGTTAGCTTTCCTGAATGCATGGATAGGAAACTCTGGGATTTTCAGACCTGTAGAACCATTTGTTTATATTTCCGTTATATGTCCTTATATATAATGAAAACACGTACGTGTGTGTGTATATTTGTGTGTGTTTCAGGGTACCAGTGTGAGTTTAAGAAGCGAACGGGGAAGAAGCCGGACGGCTGCGCGGTCTCCTTCAAAACCTCGCGCTTCTCGCTGCTCTCCTCCAAACCGGTGGAGTTTTTCCGGGGGGGCGACGCCCTTCTGGACCGGGACAACGTGGGCCTGATCCTTCTGCTGCAGCCCACTGGGGACCCCCCCGGGGACCCCCCCGGGGACCCGTCCTCCTGCGTGTGCGTGGCCAACACCCACCTCCTCTACAACCCCCACCGGGGCGACGTGAAGCTGGCCCAGCTGGCCATCCTATTGGCCGAGATCGGCCGGGTGTCCCGCCTCCCCGACGGCTCCAGCCGGCCGGTGCTGCTCTGCGGGGACCTGAACTCCTCCCCCCAGAGCCCGCTCTACAGCTTCCTGACCAGGGGCCGCCTGGAGTACAAGGGGCTGAGGATCGGCATGGTGAGATTTTAGCTAGAGCAAACATTTGATCACATCTGATTTTTATGCGGGCGGCACGGTGGTGTGGTGGTTAGCACTGTCGCCTCCCAGCAAGAGGGTTCTGGGTTCGAATCCCGGGGGAACTAGGACCTTTCTGGGTGGAGTCTGCATGATATCCTGTGTCTGTGGGTTCTCTCCGGGTTCTCCGGCTTCCTCCCACCGTCCAAAAACCTGCATGTTAGGTTGTTGGACTCCAAACTGCCCTTAGTGTGAGTGTGTGTGGTTGTTGGTCCTTGTGTGTCTCTGTGTGTCCCTGTGATGGACTGGCGGACTGTCCAGGGTGTACCCTGCCTCTCGCCCGTTGACCACTGGGATAGGCTCCAGTTCCCCCACGACCCCATCAAGGAATAAGCGGTATGGATAATGGATGGATGGAAGGATGATTTTTATGCGACATATAGGGATATTATCTGGTTTATATAACTTATGAGGACTATAACCTTTCACACAGTTATTTCATGTCTAAGTGAATGGCCACACCAGGCGCCGTTTTCTCCACCGTTTGGGATAGGGATGGAACGGTTTATTTATTTTTATTTTTTCCCTTTGTCGTGTTTGGCATTATGGCAACAGAATTGTAATCTGAGTGCTGTGCTGTCTATAGACGTCTTTGGCAACCAATGAGTTAAAGATTGTTTGCCAAATAAATTAAGCAAATCTTGAAACTAGCACTGTCTCCTCTCTTGCAATGCCAGAATCTCACCTTCTTTTAACTCATTGGCTGCCAAAGACGTCTATAGACGTCTTTTATGTTTTTCAAGGAGAGTGGCTGGGGGACGATCTGCTAAAGCTTGTCCGTAAATATCAGGCTTCTAGACAGAGTATTAGGGGTGGGACGGTTCACAAAATCCACGGTTCGGTTCGATTCACGGTTTCGTGGTCACGGTTTTCGGTTCGGTTCAGTATATGTTGATTGTTAGGAAAATCTATTACGTCTTGTATAGTCAAGTTAAACTGAAAGAAAAAAGCAGTCTGACATTTGATACATTATTGTGACAGTCTGTCTCGGTTCGATTCGGGTGTGTTGCGTTCGGTTTGTGCGCTGCTCCTTTTTCTCATAGGCGAAGCGTGTTCACTCCAGAGCAGAAGGTAGTAGTAGTACTAGTAGTACCAGTAGTAAACAAGAAGAATAAGAGAAGCAGGTGTAGCCGGGTAGATAACACAGTGGCACTTTAAGTTTGATAAGAAATCCAGCCTTATTTATTTGATTGTATTTCAAACACTGCAGAACAAACTGAGTTTTGATAATCAGGGAATTGAACCATGTCAATTTATCTTGAGTTAAATTCAAACAAAGGGACCTAAGTCTAGTTTTGATAGAGCCTATGCTTCTTTGTTAACTCATTGACTGCCAGTTTTTTTAGCATTTTGACTGATTTTTCAAGAGCCACAGAATAGTTTGTGCTATGACTATGTAAACACCGAACACACCAAAAGAAAGAGTAGACTCTCTTCTTTCATCAGGAAAATAAATGTTGTTTCTACCTTATTCCGTACTTCCTCGACGTGCGTCTCACCGGCGACATGTTCTCTCATAGCGAACCGTTAGCTTTTTCTTATTTGCCTACAGTCTATGCTCATCTCCCATCAAAAGTGGCACTGCCCCCTAGAGGGTCAATTTGTTACTACATACTCTGTCTAGAAGCCTGATATTTACGGAAAAACTTTAGCAGATCGTCCCCCAGCCACTCTCGTTGAAAAACATAAAAGACGTCTTTGGCAACCAATGAGTTAAAGATTGTTTGCTAAATAAATGAAGCACATTTTGGAACTGGCAATGCCAGAATCTCACCTACTTTTAACCTCAGACTGTCACAATGATGTATCAAATGTCAGACTGCTTTTTTCTTTCAGTTTTAACCTGACTATACAAGACATAATAGATTTTCCTAACAATCAACATGTACTGTGACCACAAAACCGTGAATCGAACCGAACCGTGGTTGTTGTGAACCGTTCCACCCCTATTAAGTAATGAGGGGGTGTGTTTGGCTTCTCTGTGCAGGTTTCGGGTCAGGAGATCCTCCTGAGCGGCGGCTCCAGGGGTCAGCGCCGCCTCCAGTCCCCCATCTGGTCCCCGAAGCTGGGCATCAGCCGCCGGTGTCGGTACGAGAGCAAACGGCCCAAGTTCACCCCCGCCGGCCCCCCCCCGGCCGTCTCAGACCCAACGGTCCAGGACCCGGACCCCGGAGAGCCAGATGGACCCAGCAGGTAACGGCCCACTAGCTCTAGTCTGTCCAAACAAGTTTAACCAAAAAATATTCATTTCTCACAATTATGAAGGGTTAGGGTTATGGTCAGGGTTAGAGTTAGGGTCAGGGTCAGGGTTAGGTTTAGGGTTAGGGTCGGCCCACTGCCCACTAGCTCTAGTCTGTAGGAGCCTCGGTCGGATGTCCAACTCCTCCCACATCCAAGTCGGCCATGTTGATTAGGTCACCAATAGGAAGATCCCAGGCAAGAAAATCCTAATTGCTTCATGGCAATATAGACGCTAATTTAAAAATAGTGAAATGAATCTTGCAAACACTGAATTAAACTCTATCCATAATATTATGTTAAAATAGTGGATGTTAAATAGGTTTGTACAATAAGTCCAAACAAGTTTAACCCAAAAATATAATTATTTCTCACAATTATGAAGGCTGGAGGGTTAGGGTTAGGGTTAGGGTCAGGGTCAGGGTTAGGTTTAGGGTTAGGGTCGGCCCACTGCCCACTGTGTCTAGTCTGTAGGAGCCTCGGTCGGATGTCCGGCTCCTCCCACATCCAAGTCGGCCATTTTGATTAGGTCACCAATAGGAAGATCCCAGGCAAGAAAATCCATCCTTGGCTTCCTGCAGTCTGCATCGTTGTTCCTAACAACGATGTAAGGAGGGTCTCAGTCCTAATTTGGGACTCCTTTCAGGCTCCACTTGACCTTTTGTCAGTGAACGCACCACCTGCACAAAGATGCTGGAGTCTAAAAAAATGTCTGTTTTTCTGGGAGGGCAGAAGACCAAAAAATTTACCTGGAAGTTTTTAAAAAATGCAGCAGCTTCAGCAGGAACGGTGGGAGAACAAAGTCTGGACTTTGTGATTAGTCAATGGGGCTTAACCCTTTAAAGCCCGATCCAAGAATAAAACAAAACAGAAAATGACTTTTTTGAGGTTTGAATTCCTTATTTGGCCTTAAACAAAATATTTAAAAAGAAAAAACAGAAATACACTTTTTATATTAATGATTTATTACTATGCGATAAGTCCAGATTATTTTTTGTGTAGTCTTCTGCCCCCTGTTATCAGGTGTATCTGATTGTGTACAATAGGATTTTAAGCAAAGTTTTTATCATTAAATTATGCAAAAGGTGTCAGACGCAAAACATTTCAGAAACCGTATGAATCAAATATAATACATTTGGCTTTACAGGGTTAAAAGTTCTCTAGGTTTCCATTTCTAACACAAAACGAATTCAAAACGAATGAAGTGGTTTGGGACTTTGGTTTGGTTTTGGACAGAAGTTTTGGAGGAGCTCGTGTTGTGACTGTTTCTTCGAAGTTGGTCTGGCTGAAGGTGATTGGTTTGTTCTCCTCCAGGTGGAAGGAGTTCCGGTGGAGCATCGAGCACGGCCTGAGCCTCCGGTCGGCCTACGGTCACCGGCTGGAGCCCGAGGGCCGGCCGGAGATCACCACCTGCCACTCACGCACCGCCCAGACAGTGGACTACATCCTGTACAGCCCCGGTACACACACACACACACACACACACATACACACACACACACACACGGGGACAGACACACACACACAGGGACAGACAGACACTCACACACACACGTACAGGGACAGACAGACACACACACACACTCACAAACACACTCCCACACACACACACACATACGCACAGGGACAGACACACACACACACAGGGACAGACACACACACACACACACACATAGGGACAAACCGACAGACACACACAC